AAATATCTGTACAAGAGATCGAGACGAAGGTGAGGAGAATGATCCTGGTGTCATAGGTCGAATGAACCGGGATCAGTAATGCAGCGGATGTTTGCCGACCTGTTAATAATGCCGGGTTTACACGGTAAGGTTATTAGTGATAGCAAACACTTTAAATTGTACAACCTTGAAATACAGAGTTTCATCAATAGAAAATCCTCATCCCTTCTACAGTCCAATCTTCGTATAAGGTACCACAGGGACTGTAGGGGAATAAAATTCCGAGAATTACGTATCCCCCACTTTACTTGCGCTCAGAGTGGAAAATATTTTGATTTGATATTCTTCGTACAAGATACTATTATAGAAGATTTTCATTTTTATGCTCATTTGAGTAGGATTCCTGATGGGAAACACGAATGCTTGATTAGAAGATATTGTTCCTAAGAAGAATAAGTTAGTTTATTAAGGATGTTTAGCCAGTGTCGGTAAATTGTCGGTAAATGTTTTTTTTTCATGTTCAAGGAAAATTCTGTAATTTTTTCGGCTGACAGCAGAACATATAAAACCAATTTTTATAACGTTGAAAAAAAATTAATCGCAATATTCTCGGCAGAAATGAATAAACTAATTTTTTCTTATACACGGGCTCTTATGAAATTTATGTTCAAATTGATAATTCACATACTAGAAGACTAAAAATAGAAATAAAAATAGAAGGTAATGTGTAAAATCATACTGAATCCAATGGCCAGAGAAAAATCTGGGGTACCCGGGCAAAAAGAGGAAATATTTGAATGATTCTATCCCATATAAGCGCATGTTAGCGCATGCATTTGGTGCATTTTGTCTATTTTATTTCTAAATAATGAACATGGGTTGATGGATTGAAATTTGTATCAAAGTGAAGGGAATATCTTCATCTCTCAGTTAGAAAAAAATCAAATTTTTTTTAAGTACTCGCGATTTTAGATAAACATCCTAAATAGGGGCCTGCGAGGCAAAATTGAGACTTTCATTGACATTTTGGTTTTCATAAAAATTGGGTGAAATTTTGTTTTCTTTTGTCTATCTATCCATCCAAAAAATTAACGTAAAACACATGGTGCAATGCGTGTAAAAATTACATATTTTACCAAGTTTTATGACCGATGCGTTTAATTTTTTTTATTAACTGTAACGAGTGCCCATTCGTTTTGAAATTCAATTGATGTGCAATTAAATTCTAGATCCTAGATGCATATATTTCCAGTAATTTCTGCAGTATTTTGACTCCATTCCCACTCAATTCTAGCCCCTTTGTCGAGTATCTTGTACGGAGAATGTGAAACGAAAAACATTCAAGCCAGAAAGTGGGGGTATCACTCGGCACGGATTCAGGCCTAGTATCTTGTGCGGAGACTAAACTGTAATTCTAATTATTTCTCTATGTATGGGAAATATATGGCGTTTTAGGATGAAATGAATGGATCACATTAATTACACCCAGAAAAATGATTTATTTGAATCAAATAAAGGAGTTTATTTGAATGAAATAAATAAGTGTATTTAAATGGTAAAAAAAATTCTTTTTTCAAATTAAATAAATTAATTGATTCGAAGTTTTGTTTATATTTAACAATTTATCAAAATATTTCACTTTTTCTACCAAGATTTACTTCTTTCTGATAGGAAAACCATTCCATATAATTTATTGAAGAAGAGACATTCGAAACGCTTGAATAATTTTTAGTTTCTCAGCAGAATAGTTGCGACTAGAATCACTCGGTTTTTCAGTGCAATCACTATTCTCCGCAACTAATATTTCACTCAATATCTCTCTGTTACGTTAATTCCTTATTTTTTTACGACATTATAAAACGAATGAAGTTTTGATAAGATTGTTTGTTTGAGAAGTTATTAATGGAAAGATGAAGGATCCAGATAACACAAACATTCATCATCTGTCGTTATCGTTTTTCCTATCTCCACACAGAAAAAATACATGTATAGCATAACCACGTCCTCCCTACCGGTCGGGAAGTTAAAAGTCACTATGTGAATATACTAATCGAGAAGCATACTAGAACACTTTAAAATTTGATTTATTTGAACCGAATTTGTACTCGTGGCAAATTCAATTTTACTTTTATGCTTCCACTTTCTACTATACTCACCCAATTTTTACTGCGCTGAACAGTAGATTTTAGAGCGTGGCAGGTATGATGCTGCATTAAATTTTCCCATACTAAAATTTGCTATGTTCCTATAGTAAAAAATAGTTTTATTTCCTTTCCATGTGGAAAATGAGAACTGGTACAAATAATTGGAATTTTTTCTGTTTTGACTTGCCACCGATGTCATAACCACCTTGGAATTGAATGGTATCACTGCAAAATTGATGCCCAGGTTAAGAAAAGGCTGTGTATCCAGCGACTGCAATCCACATCAAATTATATACAATTTTCAATCATTTGTACATTGTTTGATGTAAGTCGCTTGTCTGTTTGGAGGTTTTGTTTCAATTCAAAATTCAAGAAACAGAAATATGAAGTTGGTCATTAACACCCGGAAGTTGCCAAAAGACTATTCTATTCTATTCGCTGTCACAATTAAACTCGATACAAGTTTCGAAAAAATTTATTCCTCTCGATACATGACAGATATTGATGATTATTTTTCCCAATCGGATTTCGACCAATCAAAGCGCAGTATTTGAGGCTACCCGACAGTTTTATTTCGGATATTTCCTCCTAGCTGTTGAATATTTTGCAGTAGTACTTCTTTTTTTTTACCTGAATATTTCGCAGTAGCTCTTCAGTTTTTCGGCTCATTTCAGATAGAATCTTATATTTGACAGTCTATGGAAATCGGGTTATTCTATTAACATAATTTGTTGAAATCTTCCCCAATTTACCGCCTGATGTTGTCCACTGCACTCTGCTTGGCCAAAATCCGAGTGGGAAAAATATTCCGAGAAATACCCCTCGAGATTCAAAATGAATCGGGTATTTCCCTCAAGCTCCCCGGCAAACAAACCATCGTGCCATGTTTTGCAGAAAAATCCTTTAGCTATCGGGAAATACCCGATAATTTTGAAGCTTTTAGGGTATTACAACTGAAAATCTGTGTTAAATCATGTGTCGAGAGAAATTCGGATCTTTTCTCGCACTCCAAAGAAAAACGGAAGTCAAATCAAGTTAAAGTGAAATCCTAAATTTTTGACAACATTTGACAATTATTATTCAAAATTTTATGACAGATTCAGAATTTTCTCCCATTTTGCATGAAAAATGATATCTACATTAGGTATCGGAAGAAATAATGCTCTTTTCTACATCTCGGGAGCAAAATGTGACCTGAATCAAGTCCAAAAACAATACTCATTTCCTCCCACACTTTGGAATTATTTATAAAAATTGAGGAGCAAATTTCACAATATTATCAATATATTTTAATCGTAACTACGCTACATTATCAATACAATACGGATAGCGATATGAATGTCGCAATTATTGCAAATCTAGAAGGAACAAATGCATGGTATATTTGAATAAAGAAATAATGAGTATGCGATGATTTTATTCTCATGGAATAATATATTCAACGAATTTAAGAAAGAGTCAAGAAAATCGATCGGAGAATAATAACTACGTTCATGACGAGAAGCAGAATTAATACACTAATTAGTAATCTGAGAAGCAACATCTCACTACACTCAATGTTTTCATATAGGAAATAAGTTCCTAGGATCAATAAATGTGTAGTAACCGACACTAAAACTTAAATTACGAGGTCATTGAACATTATTTATTCAAGTAGTCATTTGGATTCGTCACAAAGAATTAATCAATCAAAAATCATCTACTCTTCAACGGTCAAATATGATGCATCATCCAGATTTATCCTCGTGAATTTCCGTTCATCACAAATATCAAAATTTGATCCTAAAATTTATTCATCTCGCACATTACCCATTCATTGACAAATATTCAGTAATAGTTCGACTCAATATAATTTAATAAATAAAAAAAAGTTTCATTTTTTTTCTTTACATGAATCCGTAGAAATGAGGAATGTAAAAAAAAATTCAAAATGCCTAAATTAATATGACAAGAACACTCAAACTATCGAGAAAAGCCCTCATCCTCCACCACAATCAAACTCTTTTTTTTATCGTTATTTTACATCGCTTCGACCCGGTTAGGGTCTACTGCGATGATGATCAAGACTTTAAATGGTTAGATCGCACCATTCTACCCGGCCGAGATTTGAACTCGGAATCTTTCGCATGTGAGGCCACGAACTTACCCACTGTGCGAAGCCACCGGGGTTACAGTCAAACTCTGCAAAATTCAGTATTTTGATTGAAGAAAATGTGTCTACTTATCTTATATACGTTGACTGCAGTTCAAAAAAATATAATGAAACATGCACGTGTACTTTGTGCAATTTTATTTGAAATTTTGGCATCCCAATGGGTATAGAAATACTGAGAGAGGTTTACGTGGTGCCGGCCTGGAGGAAAGAGAGCGATCCTAGTAGAAATTTCATTGCGTGGAAACGTCGTGGCGTAAATTAGCGCGGAGCATTGCCTTCCGCGGCGAGGTACCTCACAAAGGTACGCAGCGGGGTCGGTGAGACAGGGCTGCGCGAAGTTTATGCGAGATGGACTTATGGGCGCTATCTGTGTCAGCCCTAACCTCAAGTCCTGTTAATTAAGAATTCACAAACTTCAGATTATGCGTATTAATTCAAATCAATTATTGAAAGATTAACGATTTATTAGTGAATAATAATCGCTCGAAACTAATTGATGATTATTATTGTCGATAAAATGAAAAAATGGCAGTGCACCGCGTCAGTGTCGCCTAGGGTTCCAGCGGTGACCTAGCCGCGGAGTACGGCAGCGCGCTCCGTGCGTGAACGTTACTGCAACAGCCAATGTCGTAGAGCCTCCCACAATTTCTACGAGGAGGTGTCGTTCGTTTGATATTGTACGGGGAAAATTCAATTTTCGTTCCCGTGTGTTGGAATGGTCGAATGTGTTAATTCAGTCCTAAATCACAAAATTTGCACTGAACGCCAAGTTTATTCTGTTAAAGTTTTCCAAATATATACAAAGGTTGAGATTAGACTAAATAATATATTAATGGATCGGACTTGTTAAAATTATTTTGTTCGAACGAAAGATTGGAATGGACTATATTTGGAAAGTGACAGAGTACCGATGTGTACTCTCTCGCAATTGAGATTGGAACTAATTTACAATTTGACAGCGGTGTACTTGTATGCTAAATGGCACAAGTAATGCCGAACCAATGCGATTATTTCCATGGCTAATGGGCGAGGAAAAGGGGAGGAAGATGGCGAGGGTCCACAGGTAATTAATTTTTATTGGGGATGGCGATGGATTGTCACAGTGACGAGGATTAGTGACCTGAAGGACTATTGCGGATTGACAAAGGGATCGGAAATGATCCAGACACTATTATGAAGGGAAAAATGAGGTATTATGAATACTGATGTGGAGAACATGCTCTCTAAATACAATAAGCAATAAAAGTGCACGATTAAGTCGCGTCAAAAAATAATAAAATGTATAAAAGGAAATATTCCTAATTGCGAGGACCTACGTTGCTCTTTTAAGAATAAGAAAATGTACAAAGAACATATTGCTAATTGCTGTGGACTACGTGGATTCTATCTTCTATCGAATATTGAAAACGGAAAAATTTGGAATATTGGATTTTTCTCTAGATTTTCTCTTTTATGATGGTACAGAACAGATACCTCAAAGCCGATCGTCATATATCATGTAGGTATTTAGACGGCATTTGATTTCTCTAATGTCTTTATTTCTCCTTAAATTGGCTTCATCCTACTCTGATAATTATTTCTCTTCTGTCGATAAAATCATTTATCCTACAAGTATCTTCTAAAAAAATATCTCATTTGGAATGTTATTCATTGGAAGAGGGTAACAAGATTTTTCAATCGGAGTACGAAAAAGTAGTTATTGACGTGTGGAAGATTTGCAGTACTCGTCGAAGGCATATGATGAGAAACATCTACTTATCGTCGAATATTATTTCTACATCTTCATCAGTCATGTGTGATCGACTGTTCTCTACACTAAACATCAGCTTGATCATGTCCTGAGATGGCTTCAAATTACCATATCCTCCTTTAGATGTTATATACTGGTCAGCGAGAACAAATCCTCGAATCATAGGCAGGTGATCCAATATTTGGGTGGACTAGTTTCGAGTGTTGATTTTCACTTGATTTATTTTCACAAAAGTTTTTTCGGAATCATAATTTGAAAGAGGAAGAGATAGAATTTCCAGAGCAGTCGTCGCTAAATTGTGAAACGGATATTGGTCTCTACTTTTGTGTTCGAGTAATCTTCCCCAGAAAGCATATATTGGCACTTGATCGAGGTGTTCATAATCTACGTAAGATCGTAATTGATTCCACTCTGTGTCCACTGTCTCATATAATTGTTTAGCGCAAATTCTTGGTAATGTAGAGAGCAGTCGCTGGAGCGTCGACGGTCTGTTGTACATCGACTTCGATAATGCGTTTTTCGGATGTAATACTTTTAGGTGCACCATCGTTGAAACACCAAAATCATAACGTTTTCTCATTTCATTACACGCTTTAATGAGGAAATTCCGACAATTCTTGTAGAAACGATCCAGTGAAAGGTTCTGCAACTCGACTGCAGCCCGCAAATACTCTAGAAAATCAGTCCCTAAAAACATTTCAGAGTTGGGAAGGAATTCATTCTCATTCTGCGGGTCAATGTCTTTCAGCTCTACGGAATCCAAGTAGTTGGCTTTCATATAATAACTAAGAAGGCTCTTATATGTTTGGGTCATCTCTCGGTGAACATCAGCGATAATAACTATCTTTGACCGAAAGTATTCATTGGTTTGCTCAAATTGCGGCAAGATCCAACTTAGAAATAAGAAAAATAATTTGTAGCGTGGATTTTGGAGAATTTCATCGATCCTTTCTGCAGGCCTTCGAGGAGGTTCAGACTTCTTCTCATGAAAATACGATTGTAGGTAATCCCACTGCTCAATAATTCTTTCAACTATCGGTGGTACCGATAGCCAAAATGTTTGAGAAGGATGCATTTTAGGTAACTCAGTATGTGGAAATATTTTCAATTTTACATCTTCGAAGCTCATGATGGTTCGTATCGCATCCTCCAGTGAATCAGACAATTCTTTGCAGGCTTCATTAACACATAATTGTAGTGACTGGCAAATACATCGAGATAGTGTAATACCCGGAAAGTGTCTTTCAAAAAAACTTGCAAGTGAATTTGGTCCATACATCATTATATGGCCTCCATCTGATGCGAAACCAATCAAATTGTCATCTGGAATCTTTCTCTTAGTGAAACTAGAATGTATTTTATGGAAGAAATTTTCAACATTCTCAGGAGTAATGTTCCCTGAATCAGGAATAGCGATCAAATCCCAAAATTTGCTCACGATACCTTTTTGATCTTTATCAAAATATTTCACCAATAAGCAGCAACTTCGCCAGTGAGAGATATCGGCTACTATGCTAAACTTGGTTTTAGATAATTTACTATAGTTGACATCTCTCTGTTTGCCCAATAACATCCTTGACAATACTTCTGTCTCCCATTGCCCCAATCCCTAAAGCTTCGCAAATTTCGGAGTCCGGAAAATGGTTTTCCAACAGAATTAGTGAAAGATTCCTCATCTTGAAAAGTATATTGTGTTCAACGCAGAGTGCTGCTACCTTGATCTGATAACTTTTGACAGATTCAACTTGCTTCATTACTTCACAAAATTTGCGAAAATGTTGGTCACATTCTACATGGCTCCATAAATACCTTTCACTTGCAAATTGTTTCTTACATATAACACATTTGTCTGTAGGATCTTGTCTAATTTTTTTCAGGGACTTCTGATATTTTTGTTTTTCCCAAGTATCAGTATCAGTGAATCTTACAGAGTTCATGTAATATTCTTTCTCCAACAGAGCGAGAGTTCTGAATGGTTCATCGCCATGTTTTCGTTTTACACACTGAAAAAAATTATTAAGCCAATGAAAATGGTGATATAATTATGACGCAAAATGACGAAATTAAACTGGCATCACAAATTCATCGGAGTAAGAACTTTTATCAAAATTATCTTCCCGTCATTAACGGAAAATTTAATTGACTTTTCTCAAGTGATTTGTTTTTATCAAACAGATTGTGTTGATGTTACATTGACTGTTATCAAAGAAAGAACCGGGATTTGAGTGGTGGGGAGAACAAGTGTAAGTAAGGATTTCAGTAGAGTGGGGGTATAAGCCGAAGTGACTTCTTCGACAAGAACAACTTTACCACTTGGTTCACGCGTGATATGTTTCAAGTGTCTGAAGATGATAAATTCCTGATAATGCATGAACGTTATTGATATCATAAATCAAGAATCCTTACTGAGGATGTGGATGGTGATGGTTCTCTCTTGGGCATCATCTTGGACTGAGCCTTCACTCAACATTTACTCTTGCTGCACTTTTCAGATCAAGCAAAGTTTACAATAATGGAATAATACGCAACGAGAATTCCATAGAATACATATGAGCAAGTCATTCAAGACGCTGCCGATAGTTTCACAGAGAGATCGGTAACAGACTGCCTCGATTTATCGATCGACTCTACCATCCCGTTCGGACTGTTATCAGTTGACAGCGGATTATTATATCGTATCAATTGCACTATCTGAAAAATCGGTGTATCTAAAGGAATTGCGCATTTGAATCAAAAACAACTGTTCATTTGAAATTTCCTATTGATTAAAAAATATTTTTGTTGGAAATTGCGAAACTCGTTCATTTATTTCAAGAAACGTGTTTCATTTATAAATACGTAGAATTAATTACTTCATATTTTCTATAAATTTGGAATGCATAAGGGTCGATTGCACCAAGTCCTGTTAACCAAACAAATCATTAGAATAAATTGATGTTTATTTCCCAGTTAGACAATTTTAGGAATTCGTCGTAGAATGCTTTCATTCAGCCAGACGGTTATTAATATCGATTAAATACTTTATAATTAGATGGGATGCGTAACTTTTTCCCCCAGTTCACCTTCCCTTTTCCCATTAATGATGAGAAAACTCTCTATTGTATTGCTATGTACTTTCTTCGGTTTTCTATTTTTTGATCCTGGTGGGAGACCCCTGTCATTCTTTTTCATTTCCTGCACGTATCAAAAAATCGTATAGAAATTTTCTATACGGATTGTATATAGAATTTCTATAGGATTTTCGTATATGATATCCGGATATTTCTATATGGATATTTTTTATACAAATTATTTCTGTACGATTTCTATTGGTCTGATGCTATAGGACTCACTGCCACATGTATAGAAACATTTCGTATGGAGTTGTGACAGTTCTCTACATTTTTCTCTGGAGCGTTTAGATATCTTTTGTATGAAAACAAAAATTTATGTAAAAATTTATGTATAGAAATAATTCGTATAGAAATATTCGAATATCATATATGAAAATCCTATAGAATTTCTATACACAATCCATATAGAAAATTGGTATACGGTTTTTTCATACGTGTGGTGCCTCCGAGTGACTTTTATGAACTTTCGATAAGAATTGATCGACATATTATTTTTATTTATTCCGATACTTAATAAGGGTTTTCTTGACTGGGCTTGGTGCAACCGGGTCTAAGTCTTTCACACCAACAAAAATTCTCTATTTAAATAAAATGAAAGATTGAATGAGTCCGAATAAAGAATTATTGCGTGTTACTTAACTCATTTCCTTCGTCGACCAAATCACGATTTGATCTACTAATAAAATCTTCATTTGGATCGAGAAAACATTTAATATTATAAAATATTCAACATATTTTGAAAATTAGTTATTGGATATGAATAAAAGCTTTTAAATCATTCTGTTTATAGAAGCTGTTGTATTCAGCAGAATTCCAATTTTGTATGGACCTGGAATTTCTCTCGCAAAAATCTAAGTCGACGATGCCAAGACTGAATCAGGGAGATGGTTCATTGCATTTTATGGGATTTGCCTTAAAAACTGCAGAACATCGAACGAGATCCTTCAGTTGGAGATTGTGCAAAATTTTCACAAGTTTTTTTCAAACATGATTGTTTTTGACAGTAAATTTGAGTTGTAAGTGGAAACCCTTGACCGAATCAAGTGAAAAAATTGACGATTCATGCATTTAAGTATAAATAAATCGATTCACTGAGCTCTGATTCCCATAATCCGAAGTTGAGGTTGTTTGCAGAAGCTTCGTCGTGACGATAAGACGTGTGTAAGCACCCTTCATTCGCCGTTAAAACCACCCTTTCCTAAACCCTTTCCTCGTGTACTCTTCACTTCGACTAGTGATTCCTCTATGCGTTATATCCCCCCAGGATCCTCAACCTTGGCAACAAATTCCAGTGAAAACTAAACTGGTTTAGCTTCTAAGCACGTTAGAATCTCCCTACCCTTTAATAGCTTATAGGTAAACAAAATTAACATATCTTAACAGCGTTAAGAATTTCCTCCGTTCAACGTTGTTACTGGAACGTAGCGCTGTGGAGGACACGCCATGTGGGTGAGTTGGGTGGTGATGCGAGGTGGGTGGGTGAGTTAAGTTTGTTAAGTAGCGTAGACGAGTAAAACCACCACGAGACCATAACCGACACGTGATACCAGAGTTGAAAGGTGCATCGTATTACTTTCGATCCCTTTTGGAATATGCGCTCCAAGAACAATGTCCTTAAGGGGTTAGGTGCTTTTAGTTTGCATCTTTTAGGGACAATTATTCAACTTGGTCTAAGAACATTATACAAAATAGTTTGCATCGAATTTCATTATTATGAAATTTACATCTCATCTTTTTTCCATTCCAGAGTTTCGTGAAAGTGCATAGATTACAACAATCACGGAAAAAAAATACTTCAAGGATAATTGGGCGAGGAGGAAATGTAGGAGGTGAGGCGGAGGGGTTCCTATTATTTTCCTGCAGAAAACCAATCGCCGAACAAAAAAATTTTTCACATTCGGATTCAAAATTCAGGCAATATTAGGGAGTATCTCCGGTTAAGAATTATTTTTGGAGCTAATCAAATTTATTTGTATTTGTTCCACGCATTGAATGGTTTTCAGATTGTTTTTCTTTTAATAAATGAAAAAATATTAATCCATGCGAAAAAGTGGCAACATCGTCGGTACTTTTTTTTCACCAGGAGCTGGTACCACTGGCTCGAGGGAGCTCCAATCACAACGCTTCATCGCACTCTCTTAAGAGACGTTTAAATTGACCGCGCTACCCCCACCTGATCGGTACTTGGGACGTTGCTACTCATTTGGGCTGAATGCGCAGAAATTTCATTTTTCAGTACTTTTTTGACTATTATTAATAAACAATGCTCCTAAGCGACAATCTTTTTCACTCAAAAAATTATTGATCACATGTTTTAAATGTGTCTAAAGTTTCATGACTTTGGCTGCATTTTTTCCTTGGGTTTTGCAGTTTTTTTGATGAGTTCCATGAGATCACGGGTTAAATGACCACTTTTTCAAAAATTCATAATAAATTAACCATGCTCCCCAGCAGTCTGAAACTTTGCACACGCCTTTTCCATCATTTAAAGAATACGTAAAAAAAAGATAAAAATGGTTGCTTTTTTTCCAACCCTCCCAACTCGCCCGATTATTCGTACTTGAGTATATTTTATAGCAGCCCACGCGGAAAAATTTATGTTTTGAAAAATATATAAAAGAATATTTTAAATTAGCCTATATTATATATTTTTTATATAGTTTTTGATGGGGGAGAATCACACAGTAACAAATCCAATGAACTCATTGGGACACCGATCGGTGTCAATTTAACACCAAATTTTTTACACTACAAGTATATGCATAAACCTGATTTAAGAATAACATATTCTTGATTCCAGTATATAATCTACTTGATTCAAGTATATTTTATACTTGAATGGGGGATGGGTGGATTGACAATAAAATAAAATCGAGTTTGGCATAGATTAAGGAACTTCCGCAGTAAGTATATGGGAGTAGAAGGAAATGAACTGCAGAGCTGAAATTTTGAGAATGTATCCTTTGAGTGATTACAAATATCCTCCCGACGTCCCAAAACGTTGAACCACGTAGATTGTTGAGGAGAAAATATGAAAAATGTGTCATTAACACAGAGTCTTATGGCACCACTTTTTCAAAAATCACAAAAAAATAATCCACAATGGAATAAAAATCCAAACGCTTCACGAATAGAACCGTATATATGTCAGGAACATATCCCCACAAGTTCATTAGCCGTCACCATAGGGATTATTTGTAATTATTGAAAATGTATGGCATAGTTTGGGATTTTAGTTACGTTAGAATAAAAGGATGGCCGAACTTGGCAACGTTGAGGGAGGTTAGAGTGCGCGCGACAGAGGTCATCGTGTGAACTCAGCCAAAGCATATACTATAGATTCTATAGTACAATATAGGATTTTATCGGGAAACAAAAATACCAACTGCGTCGAACAAAAATGCGTGGTTGTCAAATCTTACATGAAAATTTTTTATTTGTTAAAAAAACAATCTTTTAGTATAAAAATCATTTGGAATTGATTAATTATGAATAGTAAGTAAATAGAAATCTAAATGACGAAATTTAAATTCATCCATGAACTTTTCGTCATTTCATTATTTTTTTTTTCAAAGGATGCAGCGAAGTGTCGGAACCTTTGATATTTTCCCCCACTGGATAGCCCCAAAATTTACTGCGGAAGTTCCTTATGGATCATGGGGGTCATGTGCAGGTTGGTGAGCGAAGCGAGCAGGGGGCGTAGCCCCCTAGATAAATAACATCTTGAAGATTTGTGTGTGTGATTGACTTTTATCTTAAGAAATTTATTGACGTCATCTTCACCGATGATAAGTGATTAAGTGACTGCGAAAGAAACCTTTTTCACTTAATATTGTTTTGAGGATTGCGTTATAAATACTAGTAGCTAATGTTTCTGGAATAAACCTCAACTTTTATTATGAACGACAATGTCTTATCGTATTCATTTGAAACTTCTGAGTTTCAACGAAATTATTATTCTGAGTTGGTTTTTTGATACTTTATTTCTCACTGACCAAATAATTTTCATTATCACTTTTAATTTTTTTTTTTCGTGAATTTCATCCATTTGTCCGCCATTTTTAATTTGTTCTTCTCATGAATTATTCCTATCGAATAAATATAATTTCATTACACCATACACCAATACCGCAAAATAAATAGTTGTACCGTGGACTTTCGTGATCATTGCAACGATTCAATTAATTGAATTGCTGCAATACAAAACTTTGCATTCCCCAAGAAATGAAAGCAAGGATTCACTCCATAAATAAACTACGTAATCGCAATAATAACAGAATACCAATAAATATGCAAATTTCAACGACATCCAGAATCTGCATGCTCATCGGTTCCACCGATACCATCCAATACCCTGAATTATTCAATCCACAAGCCCACCGATTCTTATCCCAAACTCAATTTTATTTTATTGTCAATTCACCCAGAGAATCGTGTATTTCCAGTTGTACAACAATTTTCATGATCATACAA